CTACTACTACTACTACTTCTCCTTCTTCCACTACTACTACTACTACTACTACTACTACTACTACTACTACTACTACTGCAGCTGCTGCTAGGCTACTGCTGCTGCTTCTAGCATTGCTGCCCAGGTATACTTCATGTCTACGCATGTTTCATTGGTGTGAAGCTGAGCTCCCTCGACTTGCAGGTTATGCGATCGGCCGTGCATATGTGCAGTTTTTTGGGACCGGCATCGGCGAGCATTATGTAGCCTGGAGCCATGGTGATACTCCGACATACATCTGGCTGGCGCTTCTCGTCGCGCGCACCTTCATGATTGTTGGTACCAACGTATGCCTGTGGAACATGGCTTATGAGTGGTTCTGCGAACCTACAGCCAGGGCTACTCGGAATCCTTACTATATTTACACGACGGAAAAGTCACTGATTCGCCAGTTGCTGAATTACATTCTTCTCCTGGGCATGTCGATCTGGTTTGTAAATTCATCGCAGTTTGATTTGATCATGCCATGGGCGCAAAAGTTGCTCCTGGGGATCTCAGTTGTGGCCTCTGCTGCCACCTGTTGCTACGCCCTGTCAACTTTCTGGTACTTGATCTTCAAGGAGAGGCAGCTTGTACTTAAGAAGTGAATGAGTAGTTAGTCCGGGCAGAAGTTTGCAGGTGGCATGTTTTTTTTGCATGTACCTTCCCCGAGTTCCCAGTGCAGCTCGCAAGGTATCTGAACCCGAAGGAGATGGAAAAGGTTCTTCGCAAAATCGTGAACAAGTCGGAGGATCGAATGGAAAGGTACACCACCGAGCTGGAGGCCCTTCATGAGAAGTGGTCCATGTGCTACGCAGACGAGGCCTCCTTCGAGACTGACTCTTCAAGCGACGGCTTGCTGGGCGGAATGTGTTAGAATAGGATCGCTCCGAGGAGGCGAGGACATCAGAAAAGGGAGTGTGTCGCTGTCGCTGTCGAGTCAGGATAGGATCTTCAGAAAGCGACAGAGGCTACCAAACGCCCAAGGCCAGTCAACGTCAAGTTCTCTTAACTCGGGTGGTCAGTTCAGGACATCGTTGCCCTGTTGTTCTGCTGAGCTGCACGCTCGAAGGAGCGGAGCAGGTTGAAGCGGCGGCTCGCATTGCCTTGCGGGGGGCTTTGAATGTATACAAGAAAGGAGAATGTCCGGGCCGGTCGCCCTCTGAGGCATCGCATTGAGACGAGACATGCCGAGCGATTGATCGGCTCAAGTACAGAGGGGAGGTTGCGGGCACAGGTCTGGCCGCTAAGTGGCCAATAAATACACTTAAGCTCTATGGTGAGGTATTTCAGAGCAGACTGATATGGTAGGTGTATCCAATTGATCAATAAGAAAAGGCATACCAGAGCACCTGTATAGAGGCCGGAAAAGGAGTTTGCGATGTGCGGTGTGTTTCAGCACTAGGCCCCGACGCACCTCTTGACTAATTGGCTTTGTGGCGCCGACTTTGCAAGGAAACGCGCTGATCCAACAGAGCTCATGGTTGGACACTGCCATGGAAGAGTCCTGAGCTTCCTTCCCGACATGAGCATTGTGTCGTGAAGCCTCCCGCAGCCCAGGCACAGACGGAATTGCATTTGGACGGATTGGGTATCCGCAAGATCGTGGAGACACCGCCTGGAATCAAGGCTCTGATGCAACAAGGGGCTCGTTGCTACGAGCTTTCGTGAGATGCTTTTGGGGTCTGTCAGTTTGGGAAGTGACCCTTTGTCGGAGGTGCTGTCAATCAGCGGAAATCGTCTCAGAAGCCTGGGTTCTGTGCCACTGGCATGTTCTTGCCCCTCACACGTTCATTGAAGACCAGCGCAGCCTTGGTGCTTCTGCCGAGATTGCGGCGTGCGTGACGTTGGAGGAGATCAACCTTGCAGCCAATAAGCCTGGAACTTGGGCAAAGGGGGAATCGTACGTGAGGCTCGCCGCGATCGCCGAGCCGAGGTTAAATGAGGACGCCTTAGCACCGCTGGCAGCGCTGCCAGCCCTCAGGGTCCTCAACATCTCCAGGACAGTCGCTAGATCTCCCGATCTCCCTGTCCTCGACTTTCCCCATTTTCACCGTGTGGCGCAGACTCTGGAGTTCTATCGCAAGGAGTAAAGAGACTTGGCAGCGCATGCGTGCTCTTCGTGGAGTGAACAAACTTCACCCGAGATGCGGCTTCCGCTGTGGTGTGGTACGCGCTTTGATCTCTGTCTTGTTATTATGCAGGAGGCTCGATTGAGGCCACCTTTTGTCTCCGAAATCTTTGACTGCAGCCAGTACTTTGGCGGAAGAGTTTGCCTGTCCTCGTGAATCTCGTCACTACCAGTACTTGCGGTAAAGAATTTGGGCGATGTTCCTGCTTTCTCCAGGAATCCATCTGCTTGAAGGAACTTTTGCCGAGCACCTGCATTTTCCGCTGTTTGGGGAAAGCATCTTGGGCGTGCTCCTGAATCCCGTCAGTTGCATTGTGACCCTGCTCGGCAGTACCCGGCAAAAGACTTGGCGGAGGTGCCCTCGTGGTCCCGTGGTTGATTTTTGGTATGTGGTCGCTTGCTGGTCCGTGGGTCTGCTGTGGTCATTTCCTGGTTTGGTGGTTGTGGTAGTCGTCGCGGTGCTCTACCACTGTCTGAGAGGATCTTCGCCGGCATACTTTTCTTCGATTCTTTCCCTCACAGGAATCACGTCCGCGACCTTGGGCCGCTCTTCTTGGCCGCCAGCTCAGCGGCTCCGAGAGGAGAGGGACGCAGTTCTCTGAAGCTACGAGGCGCCACCCGCCTTGGCACAAAGCCGCGCCTTCCCGGCTCTAGAAGCCCGGTCCTTCTCTCCATTCCCTGGCCCCAGCTGCCCTAGCTCCGGGGACTCAGGTCTTGAACATCTCGGCAAATGCGGCTCTCAGTGATGTGACTGCAGCAATGTCACTGCAAGTGCTGAAGCCTCAATACTCGCAGCAAGTCCCTCTGTGGCTGCTTGCCAGCGGCAAGCGAGACCCGCAACTTAATGCCACGACGAGGTTGCGGAGCCTTACAGCCACCGGCCTCAACGTGACGTCTCTGCACTGTGTCCACTGCAGCCTGGAGGCCTTGCCGAAGTTCTTGCGGCGGCTTGCATTCTTTCGCTTCCGCACAGTGAAGGTGATAGACCTGCGTGGATGTTGTCTGCAGAGGGTTTCCTCTCTGAAGGCACAGCACATGTATTTCGACAGCACCTTCTTCCTTTTAAGTCCCCGTCTTCAGAACTTGCTTCAGGCAGTCCCGTACTTGTCTGAGATGATGCTGGACGGCAACGCGCTTTTGTCCTGCAAGGACCGGACCCTGGGAGTGCAATGAATCCACCGCAGTCTTTTGACCCACTGCTGAAAGTAATTTGCCCATGCCATGCGTGCAAAGCGAAGTTGGGCAGACTGCAAATTGTTCTGCAAGCCCACCTGCTGCGATTCTTCAAGATTGTGTAGCGCAGACCATGATTCCGGCGTGCGTTTAACGGGGAAGACCAGGCCGTGTTAGATCCACGTTCGGACTGGAGATTTCCCTGCCCATTAGGGTTAGCCATCTCCGGTGTCCACTGTTTTGCAACTGTAGCGATATAGGGAAAATGCAGCGGCCGACGAGCCATCAAAGAAAGTGCAGCCTCGAAAGGACTTGCTGGAGCATTCAATGCTGCAGGACTGCCCCTCAACATTGCTCAACCGCTAAAGCAGCGCAAACAGACGGTGATAAGCTGCAGCTCCTTTCGACTTGAGACCCTTCGCTTGGCTCACAACGCCATCGAGGAAATCGGTGCAGCTTTTCCCCCAGAGTTCCCATAAATTCACCCCTGAATCTCAGCAAGAATCTGTGGATCCAGGTTCAGCTTCCTTCTCTGACAGAGCTGGATTTGGCATCCAACAACATCTCCCAGGCGATCCGCTTTGCATTCCTTGGCTTCAAGACTAAGAGTGCACCTCCGCATCTCCTTTTCAGAGCCCTCCATGGCCGCTGCCGCTGCCCCGGCGAGGCTTTGCATCTGGCGGGAGCTCCTCGCCTGGTGTCTCTCGCTTCATCCCCGAAAGCTTGTCCTTCTTCTGCTCTTGTGTCCACGAAAAAAAGCTCATAAGGTCGTTCGCGGCAACCAGCTCACATCGCTAGGCTGCTGCGCTGGTGAATGGTTTCCCTCGCAGCTTTCTGGCACTGTTTTGCGCCAGTTTCGCTTTCACCATTGCGCAGCCTCACATTCTTGGACGCTTCGCAGAATCAATTGCGTGCGCTGGAGTCACTGCCCCAGTGTGATAGCCATGTCGTCCGTCTTGGAACGTTTTCATGTTCTCAACCTGACCTCTTCCGCGAGATTCGGGTCGCAATTGTTGGAGGCCATCTTTGCGTTGGAGTCTGCGACCGCTGCGAGTGCTCTTGCTAAATGGCATGAGGCTAAGGTGAGCTCCGATCTTGTTTTCGCCAAGTGTGCGGCTCACTTGGGGCTTCTGAGGCAACGAGATCGCCGATGTGGAGGACCGGCCGCGGCAAAGAGAGCTTGGGAAGTTCTGTCGACTTTGCTCTTGGAAGGATGTTGCACAGACTATGGAAATGGCCGGTGGCTTGAGCTTGGAGTTGGGCCCTCTGTTCTTGCCGACAAGACCAGCACCGAACATCGAAAACCTTCGGCTTCTCAGAGGTTTGTCTCAAAGGCTCCAGCTCTTGCCAAGAAGTTCCGCAACGGCGGGTTTCGAATCTCGACCTCTCCTCTGAGTTCTTGAAATTTTGCAAGAATGTGGGGAAGCAATGTCGAGCACAACGGTGAGGTTCTTTCTACCAACCAAGGGCCACTACAGTCACTGCAGAATTGCAGTATGGGAGGCCACAATCGACCACAGGATTGGCCAGAGAGGTTTGATTGTAGCAAGCAGAGCGGCATTCACCAATTCTCGATCCTGAGCTTGGTTCCAGTTCCATCAGGGATTAGTTTCCTGTTTTCTCCGGCAATTGCTGGCTCCGGTTGCACTGCGGAACGCTCTGTGTCATGCTGTGGGTCACGCTGTGCGTCACGCTCTGTGTCGTGCTGTGTGCCTGTGGCACAGCGGACGAACGCTGCAAAGCATCTTCCTTCTGACCAGCATCAATCCCAGGCATCTGGATCTGCGGAACAATCCCCTCAGCGGGGTGCTGAGTGTCGATACACCGAGGGGCTCTTCCCTCTCGCATCTTGATGGGCAGGTATCGCCTTCTATCCGTTTGCAGAGAAGTTGCCCACATGGACCTCAGTGTTTGCTGAGCTCTCTGTCAGCGCATGTCATGCCAGCCTTGTTTGGGCTTTATTGTGGACTGAGAGTAACTGAGTACCAGGACATGGGAAGCAAGTGCAACCCTGGAAGACTTCGCTTCCATCAGTGCCGGGGTCTCGGAGCTCAGGGCCGTTCTGTTCTGCGGGCTGTGCCTTTCCGACTTTGTGACTACCTCTCGACTTTCTGACCCCGCACGTTCCGTGTGGTTTGCAGAATTGAAGTGGTGACAGCTCAGAGTTTGTTGAACTTACCACTGTTAAGCTTTGTTTGGCTCCGTCCGCCAGACTGCCAGATTCGTTCCACTTGTGAGGACGGCTACGACTCAGTACCGCGAAGCTTGCGAGATCGTGGATGCCCAAAGATCTCAGCGCGAATCACATTCCCTGCGCATCCTGTGGTAGCCGTCGGCCAGGTTACTGGCACCGGATGTCGCTGTTGAGCCCTTCGCTGCAGAGCTGCTGTCTCAACTACTCTCGAGTTTGAAAGGACTCAGGGAGAGCTGCACAAGCACCGAAGGCTTGGATGGGATGCTGAGGGATGCACGGCGCTTGCCGCGGCCGTGGCTTCTTTAGCGTAAGAGTGCTGTGGAAAGACATTGGGAATCACCATTGAAGGTCTGAAACTGCGGCCCCGAAGCAAGATCGTTCCGCAGGTCTTGCACTTCAAGGACCTCGGAAGCAAGCGGAAACAAGCTTTGCAGATTGCCTGATATCGCAGGAGCAGATGGCGATGAGGTGATGTATTGCACGCCCAGGCCACTGGGAGCTGTCCCGTGAGGGGTCTGTACTGCATCGGGTTCTAGTGTGAAAGAGTCCATTCATCTCCTGTGCTTTGTCCGAGCTTGTGAGTTCAACCTTTGCGACACATTGCGGAGCTTGCAGGCGCAGTGCAGAAGCCTCAACGCAGGCTTGTTTGGCATCAGTCCTCTTCGAGCATGTGTGATGCCCTGCGGAGGACTTCGTGGCTGAAGCCACTTTCAGGCGAGCTTCCGTTGCTGGAGCTCTTTCAGGATTCATTTCTGCCTCTGCAGCCAGGGGCAACGAGGCCATCCCTTCAGAAGCTCTGAGAAGCCAAGGCAAGCTACAAGGTCTCAAAAGGTCTCACTGCCACGGCGAAGGCGCGGGGCAACGTTGGCCCAGGCATCAACTCCCAGCTTCCGACGCAGCCGCTGACGGTGGACACAGCCGACGCAGAGCTTTCCTTAGAGATGATACACACAAGCCATCACAAGCCACAAGCTCAAGCTCGGCTTTGGTTGTTTGCGGCTCTAGGCCACTTCGCCCGTCTTCCGGGAACGTGAAGGCAACGAAGCTCTGTGCATCGAGCGAGGAAAAACCGCTCTTCCCTGCAGTGCACTGCAGGCTCACGTGAAGCGGCTTCCGGTGGAATGTCGACCGAAGCGCTCCTGAATTTGGGCCTGGCGTCGGAGACTCAAAAGCCAGCCGAAGGTTTTGAACACTTCACCTCGAATCCTTTTCAGGCCTGAGCTGCTCGGTGAAGCGCAGCGAAGAGCAAGGAGAGCCGAACAGCCACCTGTCGTCCTGGCGATGGAGGCCTCGGTCCTGCCCTTTAGCCGTGAATATATCTTAAACGAGAAGCAGGAGTTTTGCAGCTGTGGAGGTGGCAGCCGCAGCTGCCGCGGCCGCGGTCTCTGCCGCATCAACAGATCAGGCTTGCTGTCCTCGGTGCTGTGCTCTGCTTTCGTGCCTGCATCTGCTGGGCATGAACGGTGCATGCTTCGTCGTTCCCTGCAGGGGTTCGGCCGGTACCAAGCAGGAACCTCGCCAGCACAGCGAGGAGGCCAGCGGCCAGCGGGTGCTCGCAAACCGCAGACGCCGCAGAGGCGTGTTCTTTCGTCGTTTGCTGCGGTTGTAGCAGGTGCCTCAGGCCGCCGACATGGCTCGGAGCAGGCCAGCATTGGCCAGCCTTTTTCCCGGCGCTTTGCCTTCCTTCGCTTCTGAAGACCGAGGCCGAGACATCTGCAGCTGAAGGCCTGCCAGCGCCGGAGTTTTTTTAACTCCGGGCTTTCTTTCGCCGACGCCTTGTCGAGGTGGCCCCAGCCCGGGCGCATGGACTGGAGAGAAGCCGCAGCCACGGCGGCCACGGCAGCCATGGCTCTCAAATCTCACAGGGACTTCGTGGCTGTCTTCAGGTCGGTTCCCGACGGTCAGGCAGAGCAGGCAGGGCGATCTCGTGCAAATGCATCTCTGGCAATGGCATGCAATGGCACCCGCAGAAGGTTGACGAAGGCGTTACTTCAAGTCAAGGCTCCTTCTTGCCCGTGGTTGACTTGAGTGCGCCGTCCTTATTTTTTTCGTCGGCCTGCGAAAGAAGTTGCGTGCATGCTCTGCGACATCTAAGGCCTGTGCCGGACGCGGTCCACTCCCGGCAGCAGACAGCCTGCACCGGCCCCAAAAGCGGGGACGCCGCTGCACAGCTTCATCAGTTTGTTCCAAGTGCTCGGCCAGGTCGGCGCGGGCTCCAGCTCAGCTCCCAGGTGTCTGGGTCACTTCAGGGCAGGGCTGCTTGCGGCACCAGGATGCGCCAGGCAAATGTGGGGGATGGCGATTTGGGCTGCAAGCGATTTGGCAGTTTTTCTTTCAGGTCGAGAGTCAGAGTTCGCCTACCGCTGCGCAAAACAGTATTCGCAGTTGTTTGGAGGATATGGGCGCGTGTCGGGTACATCCTGGCAAACCTCCACACCGCAGATATCATGTTGACCATGTCTCTTCATCTCTCTGCTATGCCACAGTGAGTGTCTGTGACCTCAGTGACCACGACAAAAGTCAGGTAGTTATCGATGTCGCATTGACCCAACAGTGCAACTGAAGCAGGCATATCTTGCCAGCCTTCGAAGCAGTGCTAACAGCTTGTTTGTGGATGTATGTGGGAAGCTGCAAACCGACCAGAACAGCACAATCGAATCGCCTCGTCGCCTCAAGTTGCTTGCCCTGTGCATGATTGCACATACCCCGACGCAGGCGTGAGTTCTGGCCAGCCTGACGAGGACACCGTGGCAGCATGCTAGTAGGTGACCAGCAGCAGCCTTTATCCAAAGTTTCAGGAGACCCTGCCGAAGTTTACGGAGCTGCGGGAGGAGTCGTTGAAAGACCAGCAGCAAGTGGCACCACAGGCTCCAGCAGCGCCGGGCGGAGTTCGGAAAACGGCAGATGCAAGCGAAGCGGTGGCCTCGCAAGTCCCGCAGCTACTGGACGTTCTCCAGCTGGAGGATGCACTGCGGGAGGAGCTCTTGCATAAGGGAACGGAGTTCGAGAAGCAGCAGCTGCAGATTGTGGACAAGCTTGAGCGAGCGCACGAAGACTTGGCCAGGCAATGGCAGGAACTGGACAATGAGCGGAAAAAGTCGACAGAGCAGCAACAGCAGCAACGAGAGCTCCTGGCAAAGGAACAAGCTGAGCTGGCCCAGTACTTCAAGGAGTTTGAGTCCGAGATGGAGAGGAGATACACATGGCAGCAACAACAGAAGCAGGAGTTCGAAGAGCAGTGGCACGAAGAGTTGACGAAAAGAAGGCAGACTTGGACGAGCGAGCATGAGAAAGAAAGATACAAGTTGCAGGAATGTTTCCACGAGCTCGAGGAGCAATTCAAGGGAAAGCTGGCAGCAGCACAGACGAAAGCAGAGGATCGCGTCAAAAGCCAGGAGACCACTGAACGGTCTGCAAGCCAAGCCGCAGATTCAACCGCTACTTTCCCTAATGAAGGGAGTCAAAGGCAAAGCAACCCGGGAGGCGGAGGCCCTTTCATGGGGTCGCCGGACAGCGGCGAGCTGCTTCAGCCAAAGCTGGATCCAGAGGTACGGGCGAGGCTCCTGGGCCTCACGCCGAGACAGGCACCGGTCGCCCAGGTCGCACGAGCCCCGCCACTGGCTCGGGTTCAAAGCACAGAAGCCTCGCCATTGCAGGCTCGGGTTCAAAGAGAAGCCATGACTCAGCAGACGGAGATGATTGCACATCAAGCCTGTGGAGCGTGGGGCGCCTGCACCTGTGGACCCTCCTCTTCCGCGTGTCCCGGCACGGGCTCTGCGGGGAGCTCTGCAGCGAGAGCCGGCGTGGCGGTTTCGGCCGCGTGCGCTGCGGGTGCTAGACCGGTCCCCGCGGCCCCAGGGATCCCTTTACGCCAGGGTGCCCAGCCAGGAACGGAGGTTTCGGAGCAGCCGTGGCAGGGATCGCATGATGCCGCGCTTCCACGCAAGGCCGAGTTGTCGCAGGTCGCGCCACTCTCTGACGACATCACTTGCAAGACTTTCGAGGTCACGTTCCTAGATCCACCTGGAAGTAATGGTGCCTTCCGGCGGGCAAGGTCCTGAGAGATGCACCCTCGAAGCTCGAAACGTTACGACTGGGTCCTGTACACTGAGGCCCTGCAAGGTCAGGGGATCTGGGAAGTCGAAGACTCTCCGAAGACAAAGGAGGTGCACGGGGCACTGCTCGCAGATGCTACCGGTGGCAGTGCGGCACCGCATCTTGGTGCCAGGCGTCGGTGCCAGTGGAGCCCTTAGCCTCGGAGTCGCGACCTTGGATGACATCCGGGGCCGATACTTCCTCTGGAAGAAGTTTCGGCAAAGTTTCAGAGCATGGACTGGGTAGGCATCCATGCCTGCACAGCTTGATCTATCTGCATCTGCCATTGCGTTCATCCGCTTCGGCGGGGCTCAGGCCCTTGAGCGGCAGTCCCATTCACGCAGCTCGCGCGGCGGAGGCCTCGCAATCTTGTTTGCAGCGTTTTCAAAGGGCATGCTTGGTCAGCCCTCAAGCAGAACCCTCCTCGTGCATACGTGCTCCAAAGTGCGGGCGCAAAGAGTTCGCAGACAGAGAGCGTGCAGGTGAGGGGTCATCCGCGTGATTTAACGATCACAGCTTCGCTGGATGCCGCATCCTTGGGTCACACCTCAACACCACTCCCTTGACTCACGTTCATGTCGCGCCTTCGAACCTGGAGAGCCAGATGCTAGCGCAGGAGGATGGAAGCCAAAGGGTGGTTTCCAGCACCGAGGCGTCCCTCCCACCTTGATTGAGCTTGTCCAAGATCGTGAAATAGCTATCAGTTGGGTCAGAGTGAGCAGCAGCGATGTTGGTTGTATGTTACCCTGCAGATGCAAGCCGAAGAAGCTAAACCCTGCCTTGTTCGCTTCGCAAGTAGCGCTGGCACTGCAGCGTTGCAGGCACGATCGAATGGTCGCTCGGATGCAGACCTAGCAAGCCTCTCTTCAGCACCACCTGAAGAGAGCATCCATGCTTTGGCTCCATTTGCCATCGTTTGCCATGGGTGCCCAATCCTAGAGAAATGGCCTCTGTCTGTTGAAACCATAGATGAGTACCCAGTCCCAATCGGGCCCGAGCCTGTGGATTGTACTCACCGTCAACGCCAACGCAAGAAAGCACTCTGTGGTACATCAGAGGCGGTGGTTCGTGTAAAAAATTGGGAAGTCAGGCCTGGAAGAGCAAGATGAATCATGCCCTCTTCCCCTCTCCTGGCCGCTGAGCTGGTCGGGCTGTGTGGCAGTAAAGGCAAAGAAGCAAAGGGTTGCGACAGCAGAGGGCGAAGTGTGGCAGACAACTTGTGGGTGACTGCCCGGGCCTAGGCCAAGACTCGAGGCAGGCGTACTTGAGGCTTCTGGATTGCAGTTTTGCTGTCTTGTTGTGTTCTGCAAAGTTTTAGAATCAAGCATGCCGGCAGGTTTCTTCGGAGCGAGATGCTGGCACAGCAAGCTTATCTTCAGTCGGACACCTGCGTTCATGTCTTGACGGACGTGTCCGTGCCCGTGCTGATGTGCATGCTGTTGGCTGCAGGGAGATTAGAAGCGCCAGACAAGCGAAGAAGCAGCATCTGAATCTGTGTTGTTCTGAGCTGGTCGGTGTGTGCAGGGTGCTGCAGCATCAGTTCGGAACCTTGCTCGGGAAGGCAACGGGCTTCGCAAGCTTCGCCCAGGTGCCCAGAAAGACCGACGCAGGCAAGGTGCGCTGCTCGTCAGATGCCTCCGGTAAGGCTTGTGAAGAGCCCGGTCAGGTCCGCCCATCAGCAGATGTTTCGGGAAATACAGGCCAGAGGTTTCGAGTCTTCCAAACGAAGGGTTGAAGATCTGAGCCTTGCTGAGCTCAGGCGCTGGGCGGGCCCGTTCCTTTTCGCCGCGGGCGAGGGCCTGAACCTGCTCCAACCAATGTTGAACCCTCTCTGGTATCAAACGTCGGGAAATTCATGACATGGTATGAAGCATGACAGTCGGACTTGACATGTTAATCCCGAAGGTTCAAATTTTACGCCAGGGGCTTGCTGAAGTGGCCGACTTCAGTTTCGAACTGAGATGGACTGAGCATGTGTAGCCAACCTGAGCCACCTGTGGTCACCTGTTCTTCACCTGTTCTCCTCGAGGCAAGCGTGTGCCCGCCCAGCCGTCTTCAGAGCTGCGACAGGTGAAGGCCTGCCTCGCGCCTGTTCACAGGTCTTCGGTTCGAATCGGTCGCGAGCTTTGGCGGTGTTGAAAAGCGGCTGGCGGCGAGGTGGTTGAGGAGACGACCCAAGTCGAAAGAGGACCTCAGAGTACGGCTCTTGGAACCGAGGCGAAGCTGTCAAACTGCGTGCACACCACAAAACCATGTCGGTTATGCATAGAGTTCCGCCGAGGTACGAAGGCTGCTGACGGCAGTGCTTGGCACTGCATGGTGACACCCGCCGCGGGCTTTGCCATGGCATGGTCCTGGCTTCTCTGAGCGAGCTGCAGGTCAATGCTGGAGTGCGTGGCGCTTTGGAGGCTCTGGTGGCTCAGCAGGCCCAGTTCTCCCGCAAAAAAGAGAGAGCCGGAGAGAGCCGCGGTGGATCTCTTGCTCTGCGCTCTGCGAGGCTTGGTCCGTCCCGGGCAAGCCCCTGGCCTACACCTACTCGTTCCCTGCCTAGCAGAGAGCCTCAGGATGCCGGTCACAGCCCTTTGCGCGCCGCTCCGCGGGAGGCTGGGCCGTGCGATCCAGAACATCACGCCTCCGGCAAGACAGCGCTTCGATGCAGCGATCTCCAGAGACTCGGCGCGCGAAGGCGCAGGGGGGGATGAGGAGCTGGCGCGAAATGCGACAGAGGAGTGAGTCAAGACCTCGTTCCAAGGGCACTTGCCGCCCTTACTCGGCTTCTCGCAGCGGGCCTTCTTCCTGGATTCCAGCAGCAGGATGTCCGAGGCGAGAGAATCCGCAGAAGAAGCAGCCGCTAACAGAGCAGCAGTGCACCTGCGTTCATGGGAACGTCACCGCCCCTAATGTCGCAGGTGATTTCGTCTCCCTTCGGCTTTGGCGCAGTCTACAAGGGCCCTAAGACGGCACTTCTCTTCGCACACAACTTATATTCACGGCCAGTTTGAGAAAGAACAGAAAGATCGTTCCTCTCGAAAAGCATTGCAATTCAGGACCTTTCCTGTCGCTGAGGCATTGGAATTGAGGCAAGCCGAGCGGTTGAGTCGAAGACCTCAGATGCCGTCACGCTACGTGTGGCCGATGTTAAGAGCCTCTTCTAAGGCCATCCTCGATTGTATGGTGCGCATGCAGGCTAGTCGCCTCAGCTTTGCTCACTCCTTCTCCGAGAACGTATCCACTACTTGGCCTAGGTCGAGTGATCCTGGCAGAGATTGCGCTGGGACGTTGCCACACCGCGTGGCCGGCTGAGAAAGTGTGGGCTTCGCGGTCGCCTTCTTCGTCGTCTCGTCGTCTGGGCGGTCGCTTCGTAGCTGCGAGGCGTTGCTCCCTGCAGGAAGCGGTGACGGGCCAGGCCGACGGTTCAGTCTCAGGCCTGACAGGGGGAAGGCAGCTACTTAAAAGTGCCCTTTCTTCCCTCCACCGTGCAGGTTTGGGAGGTTCCGTGCCTTTGGCGCTGTCCTTAACATCCGACACTCATTTCTCACGGAGTGGGAGATCGTAATCTGAAGTCGAAAATCTAAAAGGCAAATGCCTTGGAAGTTGAGTACCAGCGCGGAGCAGACTCCGTGCCGATGCCTCACCGATGTCGTGACGAAGACGAGTCTGTCGTTTCTGGCGAGTGTGGTTGAGGTATTTCCCCAAAATTGGAGTTGTGGCTCTTCTGAGCCTGGAGCTCGGCAGTTTCTCGACGAACGCTCCCCGTTGTCCTCTTATGGGGAGACGAACCGAAGGTCCGTCTCGGGCCCTTCCAGTGTTTCTGGCAGAGCGCCCTCAGCTTGTATTTGGTTCGATGGCCATCTGTTCAATGCCAGTGCTGTTTGCATCTGCCAGCCAAGTCTGCTGAAGTACCCAGCCAGGTACTCTCGACAGCTTGTTGGACAATGACGCAGCGCTGATTGCAAATTCGTGTGCAAGAAATTCGATCTGGAGCGAGTGCTTGTAATTAGCCATGCATGCGTGTCCGTGAGCCGGACGGCCTCAACCTTGAAGGTTGGGCTTCTTATCCCGGCTGTCGAGGCTTGTCTCAGCCTGCAGCGCATGCTTGCGCGGATGGACAGCTTGGACATGAAAAATACGTGGGCGCATCAGGTGTTAAGCCGTTAACAAAGCAAACTTTGAGCCGTTTTGCTGCTTTGTTCAGGGAATACTTGGCTGACCCGCCACGGGAGGTCATCGACAGGATCGACGCTTTTGAAGAGCTACCTGGGCTCAGTAACAGGGTTCCCTGCTACGCTACCTGCGGGCTTGCTTTGCAATGCCGGTGCCAGAGCCTGACGTCACAGTCCCGGAGGGCGACAGCAAGAAGGGCGCGAAGCTCTTTAAGGCCAAGTGTGCTCAGTGCCACACTATCGAGAAGGGTGGGAATGCCAAGCAAGGCCCACCCCTCTGGGGCCTGCCCGGTCGCACGTCTGGAACCTGTGATGGTTTCGCATACTCCGAGGCGAACAAGAACGCAGCGATCGTTTGGTCGGACAAGCACCTCTTCGAGTACCTCCTGAACCCGAAGAAGTACATTCCCGGAACCAAGATGGTTTTCGCAGGCATCAAGAAGGAGAAGGAGCG